ACTAAAAACACCCAAATTCTCCCAAATACCATAAAAAAACACCCAAAATTCTTCAAAAACCAACCAAAAACATCCAAATTCTCCCAAAATACCATTCAAAAAACACCCATTTTCTCACCTATTAGCGAAGAATCCCGTGAGCGAACCTCCGACCATGCCACCCACGCAGTAGATGGAAACAATAATCGACACAATCATCGTCGTTTCGCTTTTATCCATGTATGTCCGCGTGCTGTTGGACGCAGTGTCGTTCACCTCATTTTCGGTGGCGCTCGTTTGGTTTAGCCAGTCCTCGATTAGCTGTGGGATTGGAGGAAAAAAGGGGCATTTTAATCATCTGTGTGATATAGGTGGTCTATAATGTGAAGGAATAGAGATCATTAATATATAATAAAAATGTGGAGGAATAGAGAGGTCATTAATATATATATATATATATATATATATATATATATATATATATATATTTATATATATATATATATATATATATATATATATTTATATATATATATATATATATATATATATATATATATATATATTTATATATATATATATATATATATATATATATATATAGAGAGAGAGAGAGAGAGAGAGAGAGAGAGAGAGAGAGAGAGATGAAAAGAGAGAGAGAAAGAGAGAGAGAAAGAGAGAGAAACATTGAACTGGATGAAACAGGGATCATTAATATAAAGATAAACACCACCTCGTCGATTACAAATACATCTAATCATAATAAAATCCGAAGTTTTATTGTTTCGGGGAAATAAAAACGGAAAAAAAACTAAAGTGGTTTTGTTCCTCAGCCGATACGGTAAGGTTAGACTTGCCGCCCTAACCGGTTTTGAAAAACGTGAGAATCAGTTTACACGGAGTGATAATTTGGAGGGAAAAGGAAGGAAGAGGAAGAAAACAACAACAACAACAACAATAATAATAACATTAGTAGTAATAATAATAGTAATGATAATAATGAGGAGGAGAAGAATTAGAAAAGGACGAAGAAGGAGATGGAGGAGAAGGATAAGAAGAAGAAAGAAAGAAAGAAAAAACAGGAGGAAGAAGAAAAAGACGACGTAAAAGAAAAAGCAAAAACCTCAGTATCCCTTTTGCTTGTGACTTACTGAACTCCCACGATATCTAGACCAGGAGGAGCACAGCCACGGAAACCTTACAAGGATGGGCGAAGATGTGAGGAAGATCACTATGAAAGGAAAATGAGAGATCGGCCCAAGTAAGGAAGGGGAGAGAGAGAAGAGAGAGGAGGAGAGAGAGAGAGAGAGAGAGAGAGAGAGAGAGAGAGAGAGAGAGAGAGAGAGAGAGAGAGAGAGAGAGAGAGAGAGAGAGAGAGGGGGGGTGGGAGAGGGAGAGGGAGAGGGGGAGGGGGATATAGAGAGGGAGACAGAGAGAGAGATAGAGATAGAGAGATAGATAGGAAGGAGAACAAGAAGGAGAAAGAGAAAGAGAAAGAGAAAGAGAGAGAGAGGAAGGAAGGGACAGAGAGAGAGAGAGAGAGCCTTGGTACCTCCACCACTGCGTACTTCCACGTCACTAAGAAGTGAGTAATAATTATGGCATTTTTTACTGATCCAGTTTTAGCAGTCAAGGTTATCTTACGATTTTCCTTTCCTCCTTACTTGCTCTTCTATTAATATCTATAGTTACACCCTGAGCGCGGATTGGGATAAATGGAATAAGCAGACTACCTATTTGCAGCGAAGACCTCGGAATATGGACCCCCCCCAGCCCCCAAGTCTAGACGAAGTCAACTGAAGCCGGAATGTCAAGATTCGGAGAGGGCGCCTCGTCCCAAGCCGGCAAGTCGTGCCTCCAAGACCGACGGCTCTGATTGGTCGAGAGGAAACCCGGCCTCCGAAACCGAGCAACTGGCGACGGCGAGAGATATATCTGATACGATTTCCTGTGATTGACACATATCGCTCTCTCTCTATCACTCTTGCAAAGATGAAAACAACTAGCAACTAACTAGCAACGACAGGATTTTAATCAGTGTCCTCGGGAATAATGAGAAGATGAATTATTAATCGGCGTGTGGCAATATCCCTTCGTAAGCTTAGTAGCAATCGCCATGACTGACATATGCTTCTCCTGACCTTCCTGACTCTACACTTTATTAGCCACAAGGTTTCCAAAACCGCCTTATATATGCCCCAATGCCCTATTCCTGACGAGGCAAACACATTCACAACAATCCAAAAGAAACAAAAAAGATGGACTTTTCTCCGTGTATATTGTATCCCAAGGTTTTTAATAGCGACATAATAGCGACAAAAAGATGTACTCTTCTCCGTGTATATTGTATCCCAAGGTTTTTAATAGCGACCTAATAGCGACAAAAAGATGTACTCTTCTCCGTGTATATTGTATCCCAAGGTTTTTAAAAGCGACCTAATAGCGACAAAAAGATGTACTCTTCTCCGTGTATATTGTATCCCAAGGTTTTTAATGGCGACCTTGCGTTCAACCTATAGAGAGGAGAGTCCGCTGCATCGGTTCGGAAAAGTATATTCAGCATAGTGCGGTTGCCAAGGTTTCTAAAACACCCGCGGAGTTGGTTGCTCTCGATTCTACTACCCTCGTGCCACGTATTCTTGCGTTAGGAAACCGAGGCTATTAAAACTTTTACCGAAATTATTTATTTATTTGTTTTTCTCTCTCTCGTATGGATGGGACTTTGAGATTTGGGATTACACGCCTAAATAATTTTGCATTTTTTTTTTCGAAATATTGTGGGAATATATGGTTGTGGAGACTGATATCAAACAATAACGATCTCTCCTATATACGTAATGAATCTCAGATACGGAGAGACAGAAAGACAGGCAGACTAAAACAGACAACAAAAGTAAAAAATAAAAATGCGTCACTAAGGTCAACATTCTCAACCTCCTGCTGTGTCACTCTAGAACCGTCGCATCGCGTGATCCCGTGAACTGTCATTCTAAAAGAGAGAGAGAGAGAGAGAGAGAGAGAGAGGGAGAGAGGGAGAGAGGGAGAGAGAGAGAGAGAGAGAGAGAGAGAGAGAGAGAGAGAGAGAGAGAGAGAGGGAGGGAGGGAGGGAGGGAGGGAGGGAGAGAGGGAGAGAGAGAGAGAGAGATGGAGAGGGAGATGGGGAGGAAGGGAGAGGGAGAGGGACAGAGAGAGAGGGAGAGAGGGAGAGAGAAAAAGAGAGAGACAGACACAGAGTAAAGAAAAGAAAGACAAACAAAGAGAGAAAGACAGAAACAAGGAAAGACAGAAATGAAAAGAAAACAGAAAACCACAGTGAGAGAGAGAGATAAAAAAAAAAATCACAGAGACAGAGACATAGACAAAAAAGAAAGAAAAAAAATAGACGCACGGAGCATCGAACGTGGGTAGCATGTCACGTGGCAACACCTTGGCAACCCTACCTCATACTCGGTCCATTTTTAACAGTAGAAGTCGTGTGCCAGTGAGGGTGGGAATTTTCTCTTTTTTTCTACTTTTTTTTGCATTGAGAGTCCATTTGACGGTTTGATTTTTTTATGTTTTTTTTCCTCTTATCATTATCATCTTTGGTCTTTGATATCGATAGGTTTGTATTTGTCTTATTTACAATACGTTTTACTAAAAGTTATTATTGCATAATAACTCAATGGTATAATGATACAAATGTATTATATTCTGAGGGTGAACAATCTAGCGTAGCAATTTTAAGTGGACAAAATGGAGAATTTTTTTTGTTTTTAGTTACTCGACACGATACATTCCAATCATTTGTGAAAGGAACGAAAGAGAGAGGGAGAGAGGGAGAGAGGGAGAGAGAGATAGAGGGAGGGAGGGAGGGAGGGAGAGGGAGAGGGAGAGAGAGGGAGAGGGAGAGAGAGAGAGAGAGAGAGAAGAGAGAGAGAGAGAGAGAGAGAGAGAGAGAGAGAGAGAGAGAGAGAGAGAGAGAGAGAGAGAAAGAGAGAGAGAGAAAAAAAATCATAAATAAGAAATAAAGATAAAGAAGTAAAAAGAAAGAAAAAAAAGAAAAAAAGAAGAGAAAAAAACAAAAACAAAAACAAACAAACAAAACCCAAGAGAAAGAAAGAAGGAAAGACAAAACAGCGACGAAACAGGAAAGACAGCGTTGGAGAGGAGTAGCAGATAGGCAAGAAACCGGTACAAGGGTTAGCCTGCCAGTGAACGAAGGGTTTATAGGGTGCAAAGTTATCATGTTTAGGCCTAAGTCTCGAGCCAATGAGCGTGGCAGAGGATTGACGTCACTGCCTTCCGGTCGGTCTGAGTTACTGTACTATTCATGTCGCTAAAACCTGGATGACGTTCAATGGGTTAAGACGTAATGAGACGTAATGAGAAAATTGAAAATGTCACTAAATACATACATACGTACACACACACAAACACACACACACACACAAACACAAACACACACTCACACAAACACACATACACACACAAACACACACACACACACATAAACACACACACACACACACACACAAACAAACAAAACGCAAACACATATCCATATGAGTGTATACATAATCTCTAAAACCAAAATTTTTAAAAAACCTGAATAAAAACTCACCCCTAGCGGCGCATTCATAACACCGAGGTTGTAGCCATGCTGAAAGGCGGACCCGAAGGCAGCTGCAGCGATGGCGAAGGCGAGTCGGGCGTTCAGCCCCTGGAACGAGAGAGGAGAGGGAAGATTATGCAACTGCTGTGGGGTAATAGGGCTAGGAAGACTATTGCGGGCTACATGGGGATTTTGGGGAGTCAGAAACTTGGGTTTAATAGGGCATTTGGAAGTACATCATGAATCGACAAAAAAAAAGGAATAAAGGGTAAATCAGATTGGAATATATAGATAATCTGAGATATAATAATAACGATAACACCAATAACGATATTAGTAATAATTCAGATAATAATAATAATAATAATAATAATAATAATAATAATAATAACAATAATAATAATAATAACAACAACAATAATAGTAGTAGTAATAGTAACAACAATAACAATAGCACTAATAAAACCCAACCTCCTACACAGACAAATAATAGACCTACATGTCAAGACGACCATCTCCCCGAAACCAGTTCCTGCACGCATGTCCTGCAAAACGAAAATTATCTCGTCCGCAACGACTAGTTTTTGGCGGTTGTTAACGCAAGGCTCCTCAATCCAACGGGAACTATCTCGTTTGACTCCACCCAGTTAGCTTAAAGGTCTATTTGGCATGATATTTCCAAGTGACGATAAATTGTCTAGAGTAGATATGGTATAAACAACTGGGGGCTTGGCTAGGGATAGTTTAATAGACTGTTGTACTTTAATAAGCTGTTGGATAGCATTAGCCTTTGTATAATGATAAAAAAGGCGAAATACAGGTTTCGTGTAACCAGACGGCCCTCAAGCCTAACAACAAGGATAATAACTTTATAGGTGTGACCAACCTGTTATGTTCAAGAGCGAGAGGTATTACGCATGTCTTTTCTTGAATGAATATTTTCCTTTTTATTTACATACTTTTTTCTAGTTGTGTCACGAAAGAGAGAAAAAGAGATAAAAAAAAAATGATTCGAATGACTAGTATAAGAAAAAAAATGACAAATTTCTCTTCCTTACAACAGAATAGACTACAAAAAACAACAGCAATAATAATACCCCCTTTTTCAAGATTTAGCTTAATTTTTCTCTCTTCTCTGGCAAATCCTGCATGAACTAGACTAAGCTAGGATATTCAAGGCGGGTCAGGAGTCTCTGCCAAGGAAGGCGAGTCCCTCCTGGAAATATGTAGGCGTCCTTGGCTTAACTGTGAGACGGTGGAGCCTTTTGGCCAGTCTTTTAAAATCTAGGCCTATGTTACACCGGCTCGCGAACTCAGCCGCTTTGATGTATGTTATTTCGTGTTCTAAATGAAGTATCTGTGTGTTAATATATTCAACAGGATATGTATTCATTCCCTGATCTGGTTAATTAAATCGATAATCATGGCACACTGTTAATGTTGGCAACACATGTGGAGTTGCCAAGGTGTGGATAGATCGATTTTTTCGCGCAGGTATTGTAATTCTGATGCGAAATTCACTAATTTTAGCGATTTGCCAACAATATAAATACATATATAGACAGTGTTGATATATATGTTTGTGTTTGTGTACGTGTGTGTGTGTGTGTGTGTGTGTGTGTGTGTGTGTGTGTGTGTGTGTGTGTGTGTGTGTGTGTGTGTGTGTGTGTGTGTGTGTGTGTGTGTGTGTGTGTGTGTGTGTGTGATTACTGACTTAACGTTTACCTATTTTTCATTTGTGCAAATTTGTTCCGTAATTTTTTTGCGGCACTTATCCCTCAGACAAATAGTTTTACGTCTTTCCATCAATAATCATAATTTAGATAACACCATAATCAGTATTCGTATACGAACACGATACTTCACTCGATACCTAATATTTTTTTTTTTTCCACCTTAAACCCAACCAACCTCTAACAAACAAAGGGAATAACAAGTTAATATCAACAAACTAGAAATAACAATAGGAAATATGACAAAAGACGCATCATATGACAGCCGCAAATCATCATGTGATCTAGTAAAGCCTAAAATAATCTTGCATAAGTACCGGCGCAACACATGATTTCTGCAATGGGTGAAAATGCGGTCTGTTGGCACTTTGTCAGCAGCTTAAGGGGGCGCCAGATGTTGCCAGAAGAATCTGCAATTGAATGCAAGATACAGGAGACGCGTTGGGAAGCAGAGAGAGAGAGAGAGAGAGAGAGAGAGAGAGAGAGAGAGAGAGAGAGAGAGAGAGAAAGAGAGAGAGAGAGAGAGAGAGAGAAAGAGAGAGAGAGAGAGAGAGAGAGAGAGAGAGAGAGAGAGAGAGAGAGAGAGAGAGAGAGAGAGAGAGAGAGAGAGAGAGAGAGAGAGGAGAAGGAGAAGGGGAAGGAGAGGTAGAAGGAGAAAGAGAGAAAAAAGGGGGAAAGAGAAGAGAAGATAAAGCAAAGATGAAAAGAGAAGAGAAAAAGATACTTCTTAGTCAAGATCTTGCGGTCTTCAAGTAGCTGGTCGTGTGCCTTGTTTAAAGTATATAATTACATTATTCGGTTTTCTTATTTTGTTGTCTTTCTTTACAAGCTAATATTCTTGCTTTGATTATTTCTATTTTCTCAGTGAAAGGAAAATAATCAGATTAATTTCATGATCTGTGACGTTTTGATATCAATTTCGAAAATTAAACCGGAATTCATTATTCCCATTTTCTGTAAAAAAATATAAAAAACATGAAAATGGGATATACAGCTGATTAAAGCAATAACTAAACTAAATCAACGTTTTCCAGACTAAGGGATCCCGCAATGTACCGAAACCGAGTGCCAAAGAAAGGTGTTTTTTCCCCCCACTTTCTAACAAAGGGCTCGGGCACGTGTTGAATGAGGACTGGGCCACTTCAGCACCTCTCTTGCTCTGAGTTTCCTACTGCTGAAGGGAAGTTTGAGTCCACATCATGCCCCACAGATCAGCTGACTGGATGTTTTTTTTTTTACGGAATAAACAGCTGAGCCATTCGGTATCCGAAGTCTAAACTTACGGAGCTTTAGTCTGTTGATTTTCTTTTGTTTTCCTATTTTTCATTTTCGAGAAGATAGAAAGGATGAATGTTAAGATTGAAGAGATAGAGAGAGATAAGAATAGAAATATAAATCCTGCTTTAATTTCAATGTCCGAAAACTCTTCAAAAATCTGTCCCTAAGAGATATAGAATTTCATAAGCTCGCAAGACGAACCCAGAATAAATTGCCAAACTCCCGCATCAAGTCATAAATTTGCATAAAATTCTTTTTGCCAACAACTTCCTAAACTTCAAACTCCTTATGAGATGCTTCGTGCAAGAAAAAAGAAGTGAAACTATTCAAATACGTTATGAGTCAGAAGCATATTTCATTTACATTCACATTTTTTTCCATTTATGTTTTTTTTCTTTTCCACTTCTTGTTCATCTTGTTATCTCCTTCTACGTGTTCCTTTCTTGTTCTCTTTTCTTTTTTTCTCTCCACTTATCTTTCTGTGTCCTTACTCCGTCGTCAGTTGGCTGTTGATGGTAATGTATATCCTTTCTTTCTTTCTCTCTCTTTCTCTCTCTTTCTCTTCTTTTATATTCATGTCAATTCCTCTTTCTCTTATCTTTTCAATCTCTCCCTTTCCTCCTCTCTCCTTCCCTTACCCCCCCCCCCCCTTCTCTCTCTCTCTCTCTCTCCTTCTTCTTCTTCTTCTTCTTCTTCTCAATCATACAGCTTAACCACACGTAATTAACAAAGGAAGTTGATCTTATTGCCTTAATCAAATTCAATTCTCTGTGTGAAGGTTTGAGAGAGTCCTGAAATCAAGCGACTTCAGCACATGTTGGCGTCGAGATCCTGAAGTCAAGTGACCTCAGCATATGTCGGCGCTGAAGTCCTGTATTCAGGTGACTTCAGCATACTAAGTCATATGAAATCAAGTGACATCATCATATGTTGGCGCTGAAGTCCTGGATTTAGGTGACATATGTTGGCGCTGAAGTCCTGAATTCAGGTAACTTCATCATATGTTGGCGCTGAATTCCTGAAATAATTTGACCTCATATGTTGGTTCTGAAGTTCGGCCTTGTCGGTATGTGGATAACACAGGTGTACAGTGATGAACAGGTGAGGGAGGGAAGGGGAGGGGGGGGAAGAGAGTGGGAGGGGCGACTGACGTTAACAGGTGTACAGGTGTTCACAGATGTGGTGTGTGGGAGGGAGATGTGGGTAGAGGAGGGGGGGAGGGGGGGGGTGGGGGTGTGGGTGGGGAGGGGAGAACCAGTACAAACCTGTGTTCTCTCCCGAATGTGTTACAGAACTTCGCTCTTTATCATAACTCTTCATTATGTCCAAATTTTTATTTCCTGAACCTCTATCAAGAGATATAAACCTACATTCCTTCTCCTTTTTAAAAATGGGGGGGTAGGGGGGTAGGGGGAGGGGCAATATCTTAAAGAAAATGAGAGAGAGAGAGAGAGAGAGAGAGAGAGAGAGAGAGAGAGAGAGAGAGAGAGAGAGAGAGAGAGAGAGAGAGAGAGAGAGAGAGAGAGATATTGACAGAGAATTAAAATGATGAATATATGACACTGATAAGAGAGCAAGAGAGTAATGCGTTAACGTCAGTACAGAATAATCCTTAACAAAGCTCTTATCACTTACCGCTGACGTGAAAGGAGCTTATCGACGGAAGCTAAAGAATGTGGCAATTCTTTCTCATACAGTGTTAACGAATAATCAAATTTATACTGAATAACAGACGTGGGGGGACGAGAGAGAGAGGAAACAAATGAAAGAAGAGAGAGAGAGAGAGAGAGAAGTAAGAGAGACTGAGAAGTACGAAAGAGAAAAGTAAGAGAGACACTGAGAGATGCGAAAGAGAAAAGGGTAGTAAGAGCAGAACAGAGAGAGAGAGAGAGAGAGAGAGAGAGAGAGAGAGAGAGAGAGAGAGAGAGAGAGAGAGAGAGAGAGAGAGAGAGAGAGAGAGAGAGAGAGAAGGAGAGAGACATACAGGTGCTGACGTAACACTCCCAGCCCCGTGTTCCCGCCACACTGCACGGCACCGGGTCTCCTGACAGCCGAGGTAGAAACCGCAGCATAGACTGATCTTTTTCTCCTTCTTCTCCTTCCTTCTTCTTCTTTTTCTTCTTCCTCTCTTTCTTCTCTTTCTCCGTTTGTCCTTTTCTACTTCGAAACACGTGCCTCAAGTTTTATATACGGTATCCATTCGCAAATCAAATACAAGTTTTCCTTCCGCTTTTGTCGAGCGGGATAAACACGCTTGGGATAATATAGATGAAATAATCTAAAAATAATGATAAATATAACTAAAAAAAAACAATTAATTGGAGATCTTACCCCTATTGAAATGATGACCATCTTGTAAGGCTTCTTGTCCTATCAAACCGAAGAAAATGAGATGCTATAGCACTTTCTTCCTTGC